GAGCAACTCATTCAATAAAATAATATCTTTCATTTAACCACATATTTTCCATTATATCACTATTTAAAATACATTATTCTCTCAATAATATGCATCAAATATTATATAAATATGTAACTTATGATGTACATGTAGCATAACGTCAATTTTTAGCAGGATAATTCGAATGAGAACGACTATAAGTGCCCACCTACTGAATTTCATTTTCATCATCAACTGAAGACCGATCAACCACGGCTAAAATGGAGTCCGCATCACCGGCCTCTTTTCCATTTTCTCACCCCAATTTGGTCATGAGATCATTTTCTGGGCAGTGAATTTCCTACAATGTGATCACATGAATCAGGATATAACAGAAAACACCCTAACGCGCCTACATCGCATTGAGAATCGGACAACCTTAAAATATAGATAGCAATCTACAGCACTCAATACTCACAAACCCATTGTTGCGCAGTGATATACACCATTCAATCCACCATCCACGTGTCACTATTGGGTCCCACCTTCAACTGCCATGTGATTCTCTCTCCCTCCTTCCTTCACACTCGCACCCACAACACAAAGTCACAGTGGGATACACACACAACACAAAGTCACAGGTATACTCACATACAAATGTAAAGCTTGCATTTAAAGCTTCAACTACACAAAAATGGCCAATATTAAATCTTGCGTATGAGCCTCTGGTTTCATTTCATTTCTGTCTTCAGATAGGGAAGAATAACAACAACTGTATCAAGAAATGGCTGGGAATTAATGGATAAATGGGTATTTGGAGGCGATTTTGGACAGTGGGGCAGCAGCCATAGAAGAGAATAAGCCAACCCCAGTGAACGTGAAGAAAAAAGGCAATTTCAATCCCACAAAGTACTTCGTGGAGGAAGTGGTAACGGGGGTTGATGAAACTGATCTTCATAGGACATGGATCAAGGTGATGGCTACAAGGAACACCAGAGGTAGAAGTTCAAGGCTTGAGAACATGTGTTGGCGCATTTGGCATCTTACCCGCAAAAAGAAACAGGTTTTTTTATTACATAGACTCCACATATACACATACAGATACGTGTATAAATATGTGTGTTTCTGTTGTTTAAGTGGGCAAGAGAAAATGGGATTCTTGATTTTTCAGAGCTAAGTTTTTTGATATCACTCTGTTGTTTTTGGGGTGGGGGTGGGGTTAAAGGGGATAGAGTGGAAATTGCACTTTTTCTTGTTCGAGTCACTGTCCCTTTCCTCTGTTTTTTTTCAGTGAATTGTGTGTGCTTTATGAGGGAGCTAATAGGCAATGAAATAACACAATTAAATTACATCTTTTTAAATATATGGTATTGAATGAACAAATGAAACAAGATATGGAAATAAAAAGTCCATGGTTTATATCCAATGATGATATCTTCAAATGCATATTAAAAAATGGTAAAAAATGGATAACCTGTTGGTCGATGGTTAAATGTGCATAAACAGAAAACCAATCAATTGATGCTTCTTACGTAATTTAATTTCCATATAAGTAGCTGGTTTTGATTAGTACTTCCTTCGAATTCTATGGTTTATTAGTGCAGGTCCATGTTAGTCTCATGAAAATGACACTTTACGGTGGATAGGTCTCAGTTGTTTAGGTTTTATTTAACCAGGCTTCTTGATGTGTCTTCTCTTTTTAGTATGTATTTCCAAATGAGGATCCTACTTAACCATAAATATGAAATTATCTTTTGGTAGTTGGAATCGGAGGATTTCAAAAGGTTAGCGAACTGGAGGTGGGAACGAGAACAGGGACGCAAGGATGTGACCGAGGACATGTCTGAAGATTTGTCTGAAGGAGAGAAAGGAGATGGTCTAGGAGAGCTTGGGGTCGACAGCGCCCAGAAAAAGCTCCAACGGAACTTCTCCAATATCGAAGTATGGTCTGACAATAAAAAGGAGAAGAAGCTTTATATCGTCCTCATTAGGTACAGTAATATCTCAACGTAATTGTTCACATTCGCATGAAGAATTTGGAATTTAGTTACCATTAATAGACTAGTTAAGGCATTAAATTTCATGATACATGGAGTATGGCTTGAACATATAGTTTCTGACCAAAACTTTTTATGGTGATCAGTTTACATGGATTGGTCCGAGGGGAAAATATGGAGCTAGGTCGTGATTCTGATACTTGCGGTCAGGTAAAACACTTCTTATGCGATGAATAATGCTTATATTTATGTTTAAGCATTGATTTTAACTTGCTTTTATTTAAATGTCAGATTAAATATGTTGTAGAACTTGCTCGAGCACTGGCTAAGATTGCCATGTGTATATAGGGTTGATCTGCTCACCAGTCAAGTTTCCTCACCTGAAGTAGATTGGAGTTATGGTGAGCCGACAGAGATGCTTAGTGCGGGTTCAGATGATGCGGATGGTGCTGGTCTCGGTGAAAGCAGTGGGGCCTACATTGTAAGAATACCCTTTGGTCGTCGGGACAAGTATCTTCCAAAAGAACTATTGTGGCCTCATGTTCAGGAATTTGTCAATGGAGCATTGGGTCACATCAGCGGTCCCACTTTATTCTTCCATTGACTTATTGTAGGCAATTTGAAGAGAAAAATACCATTTCATCCTCATCACATGTGCACTTTATGAAGATTCTCTACTGCAAAGGGGTAAAATCGAAAAAGTCGTGTAAATGGGCTGTATGAGTACTGCAAAGGTGTCAGATTTTGTCTCCAAAAAAATGCCCCAACGGTCCACTTTCTAATTACCAACGGTCCGAATTAAAATTTGTAGTCCGCCCAGACACACCCTGAATGTATGTTTTGTAACTAAAATACGAGATTGTGACTTACAAATGTACCTTCATAATTATGAACTTGTGTGATTTGTGATTTGTATGTNGAGTACTGCAAAGGTGTCAGATTTTTTCTCCAAAAAAATGCCCCAATGATCCACTTTCTAATTAACAACGGTTCGAATTAAAATTTGTAGTCCGCCCAAACACACCGATAATATGTCAATGGCTTTGGGTGAACAAATCGGTGGAGGACAGCCCGTCTGGCTATATGTTATTCATGGCCATTATTCAGATGCTGGTGATGTGGCCGCTCTCCTTTCGGGTGCATTAAATGTCCCAATGGTTTTAACGGGACACTCATTGGGCAGAAACAAGCTAGAACAACTTCTAAAGCAAGGAAGACAATCAAAAGAGGATATTAATTCAAAATATCGGATTATGAGAAGGATAGAAGCCGAAGAGCTTTCTTTAGATACTGCAGAGATTGTTATCACGAGCACTAAGCAGGAAATTGAAGAACAATGGGGTCTATATGATGGATTTGACGTAAAGGTCGAGAAAGTTTTGAGGGCGCATGCAAGACGTGGGGTCAACTGCCATGGTTGGTTTATGCCTAGGATGGCGGTAAGCATGCCGTATCAAAATTCTGAACTGATAAATGTGCTATTAGTGTAATTTACGTGATCCTGAGCATT